CCAACGTTTTGGCAGGGTTGACTGTAGTGTTGACTGAGTGTTGACTGTGGAAAGCCATCGCAGTTTGACCCAGGATCGTCGAAATCCCACGAGGCTCAACTGTTTGCACTGAAAGTTGCAGGGAAGCAATGGTTTCTTGCATTTTGGCAGACTGTAGTGTGGGTCGCTGACGTCAAGCGACAGACCGCTGCTTACAAGGTTGCGCGCGTCAGCATTAGTATAATCCCTATATAACAGTTTCCATTTTCTTCTCCATTGTCCCTATATAACCCCAATTTTTCCCTATAATTCGTATATATTCCTATATAATCCCTATATAACCCATGATAGCAGTTTCCACTTTCTTTTCCATTATCCCTATATAGCCCCAATATGTACCCTATATACTACTTATATGACCCTATTAACCCAAGCACCACCAACCTGGTAGCACCTGCTTGAGAACGGTAGTGTGTCTTCGCCGAGTACATCAAGTCAGCAGGGGTAGGTCTATAGGGTCATATGAGGGGCTATATAGGGATAACGGAAAAGAAAATGGAAACTACTATAATGTCGTAGGGTACAGTACCCCTATTTACGAAAACTATCATGCAGGCGCCCATTTTCATGGAAACCAGCCTTTGTAGGGGCCCCTTTTGGCATGCCGTGTTGGCCTTGGGGAGGGTACAGAGAGAAATTTATATTCTGAATATGAATCCCCACTGGCCACGCCACAATGCTTAAGCGTCAAGGTGCCGGAAGATTTGAGCTTGACCTCTTGCTGCACCCTGAACATGAAGTCCGTCTGGTTGCAGCTTAGGTCAACCGTCCCATCGCTTCTCTGAGTACCTTTCTCGCGCGGCTCCACTACAGTAGAAACACCAAACTCTATGCCAAACCAGAAAAAACAATGTATAACCCATTATAGTAATTTCCATTTTCTTTTCCATTCTCCCAATAGAAACCCAATATAACCCATTATAGTAGTTTCCATGTTCTTTTCCATTATCCCAATAGAACCCCAATATAACCCATCATAATAGTTTCCCTTTTCTTTTCCATTATCCCCAATATATCCCCATTAATATAACCCATTATAGTAGTTTCCATTTTTCTTTTCCATTATCCCCAAATAGCCCCCAAAAACTGTCAAAGCTTTCCCATTGTCAACTTGCTGGATGCTTAGGGGAGCGGGCAACTGAATCATTACAACGTTGCCTTGTATAGTCCAGGAATGGGCCCTGATTGCACCCCTCTGCACTCCCACCCCCTAAACCCCTATAGGGTTTAGGGTTTAGAGATTAGGGTTTACGGTTTAGGGTCTAAGCCTAAACCCCCCTTTTAGCAACCAGCAAGTTGGCCGACAGCGGTACCGAACGTGAACACGTCCGTCTCAGCCACCAACCCAAATTCCAAGGACCGAGTGAACGAGCTCCTGGGTTACTTATCTATAGGTTCCCCAGTAAACCCTTAAGATTAAGGGTTTAGGGTTTATGGGTTTAGGGCTTAGGTTTAACAAGGAGACCCCCCAAATAAAAAGGGAAAAAGGGTACTACTGGGGAACCGAATAATGATGGTGTAGGGTTCAGTGTTTATGGGTTACATTAACTTACCAAAGTTGGGAAGCTCTCTCATTTACGACATATATATATATATACACACACATATACATGTATCCCTAGTCTTTTGGCTTAAGCCCTGGACTACCCTAAACCCTGCATCCCTGTTCCGGTACCTTGTTTTTTCTTCCTTAACAACAACAACCCAGGCTCGTCAGAGATCCCTTGACTTTCTCAGTGAACGGTGGCCTGCGCTGGTTTAGGATCTAGGATTTAGGCTTCAGGGTTCAAGATTTAGGGTTTAGGTTTTAGGGTTCGGGCTTTAGGGGGAACAAAACGAGTAAATCTTCTTCCAATAAAATCAAATCACTGCACCTTTCTTCAGCCAGCCACACATCGAGACAAGACAAAGACGAACCCTGAACCCTAAACTGGGGTTGCAAACTATTCAGGCGCTCACATTGCAATAGCAATATCATGTTGAGGTCTATTTCAGGTACCCTATGCCACAGTTAGGCAAGGAATCTAGAAGCATAATATGGGTAATTCTGCCTAAAAGCCCCTTGATAACCCCAATTTCATTGTCGATGCTCGTTTCCACTTTCCATTATGAAGGTAATACCCCTGAACAATATGGCTGGAGTTCCCCCTAAACCCTAAACCCTACAAGTCCCAGGCGCAGCTTGAGGGCGTAAGTTTGCATCAGACCATTGCCAGGATGAATTTGCTTCGGAGACCGTGCAGTGACCAGAGGCAGCCAAAGGCAGGTAACAAGGTCTTGAAGTTCCATCTGGCAACTGCTACTTTAGGGCTTAGGGTTTAGGGTTCAGGGCTTAGGGTTCAGGGTTTAGGGCTTGGGGTTTAGGGTTTACGGGTTCCCTAGGGCTCCAAATTCCCTACATAGTAGGCTGCTGGGCTATGTACAGTTTCTATAGGCTATAGAGAACCCGAACCCTTGATTTAGGTAACTGGCGCCCTATAGGGCTTACTATGTTCTACTACGTTGCAGTATGTTATATGAGATTACGCTATGTTCTAACATGGTTGCCACCTATAATATTGCACTACTCTACTGCGCGGAACTATTCCATACGGGGGATGGAGGACATTTGCGCGCGCCACCCCTGCTATCAACCAACCAACATCAGCAACCACTAGAACCCCGCACACCCCCTTTAACGTTGTGACGAACTCAGGTTTGAAGTGATTCAAGATTCTGGTCATTTGACCTGGCTGCCTTCGTGCGACGCCACTACCAATATGAAAGACGGGGGTGCTGGCATTGGATTTCAAGGAACCGTCCAGGCAGCGCAAGATTTCTTCCAGGAAGAAAACTAGACGAAACCGTAGCGGACTATACTATACATCGCGCGATGTCATGCTTTACTTACTGGTTCTTAGTAGGTACCAGTCTTAAGGGAGTATAATCCTACATAACCCCTATATACTACATTCCCTCATTCCCTACGAACCCTAAACCCTAAACCCTGTAAATATAAAACATTCCCTGCTAACCCTGAACCCTGTTCCCTTAGCCCCTACTATAACCCCAATATTCCCATTATAATGTAGCAGCTTCCATTGTTCCATTATCCCTAAATAACCCCAACGTATTCATTTACAAGGTTACTGGGCTTCAAGGCATACTCCCAACTTGCAGATGGGACTGGGGCGGTTTAGGGTTTAGGAGCCGTAATTAATTACATGCAGATGAGCTACAGTCTAGGGCTCCTAGTATCCCCCTTGTACGGCCTATAATGCTCCCTTTTACGGAGTTTAGACTATAGCTCATATGCGCCATAGTCTGAACTTCTTATCCCGCTTCATGCCCCCTAGAATGCTCCCCTTAACTCCGCCATGTAATTGCTTATATGACCCCCCTTAAGAAGTTTAGATTATGGCTCCTACAGGGGGGCCGTATTACAACAGGAACACCACGATAGAGACCCGTATTCTAACATTATTACAACGAATTTAGTGAAATCCCCACACGCCTGTGTCTAAGTCCAGGAAAGGCCTGGTTCCTATTCAACTTAACCCTAAGGGTCCAAGTACCTAATAATCATATACTCACTCAAAACCTGTACTATACAATTACTATTATCTCACACCCAAGTACCTAATTATTGGGTACTTGGACCCTTTGGGTTAATAGGTGTTAAGACCGGCTTGGTGCCCGTAGTGTCCCCGTTGTCTCCCCCTGCCCTTCCTCATCTGCGCTTGTGTGCCCTGCCCGCTCACCCTCCCCTCCTTTGTAGCATGTTGTGAAATTAAATGCTGCAATTAAAACCGTGTTTTTACACTTTCGCGATGACGCCAAATCTTCGGTTCTCGGGCGGAGGAGGGCATTCTTCGGATGAGTAGAGCACTGAGAGGTTTCTGTGTGCGTTGTCCTATGCAGCTTTGATGAACTCGTGCCTTCCAATCCATCGAACATTCCGTCTGCGTTGACATAGGCAGCAAATCATTGGAGAAAGCCGCTTGCGTGAGAAGAGCCTCGGTTTCATTGTCCTCAGACCCACCACTCAGCAGGATGATGTCCGGAAGGAGCGAGGCAGCTGCGCGTTGCGCCTTGCCCTCTAAGATCTGGCCTGTGCTGTTGCTAGATGGAAGCCTTGCAAACGTATGGTGCTCACTTTGCCCTGGGAGTAGCAACAGCTGCGTCCAGTTCGAGAAAACAAACACTTTCTGGACCGTGTGCAAACCAAGGCTCGCAGCTTGGCCTCGTGCTTTGTTCCATGCGCTGCCCGATACATGTGGGACAGGACCAGCAAGTGCAGCTTGAGGTGCCCCTTCACCACCTGAGGAGTGTCTCAAAGTCACAGAGGCATGGGTCCCCGAACTAACGTGGAAGATCGTGGAAGCAAACAGGGCGCGTTTTGGGCTTTCATGCTAGTAGTCTTACTGGTGCATAATAAGAAGAAAATGCAGTTCCCACATAATCGCTGTGTAATGGATTTTTATATTCCCTACTAACCCCAAGTAAGGTTGAGGAAGATGGTATCTGCTGAAGCCATCCCGATGTAAAACCACGTAACAGAAGTGTTATCTTTGCTGGCTTGCGCATGAGTGCTGTCAGATTCTGACAGTGCGTTGCATATGTCTTGGGACAACAGAACAGAGTCCGTAAAGCCACTGTTTCAAGCTAAAGGAAGGACCATGTGTTGCCTGGGGGAGGTACTTACTTATCTAAGGCGGTGGATGGCTGTCAAGAAAACTAAGGAAAGCTCTCTCGTCCAAAAAATGCTCACAACATTACAACACAGATTTCCGATCTCTCTGAAACGCAAGCAAGAAAGAAACCGAAGGACAAGCTTTAACAGCTTCTTCAGACTTCTCTGCAGACGCGCCTTGGCAAAAGGCGCACGGTCAGCCGCTGCCTTCACGAAGCGAGCATAGGGTTTAGGGTTTTAGGTTGGTGCATCTTTCCGTGTACTAGTGCTCAGAGTTTATAATCCTCCTTAAGAAGATAGAATATGGAATTGACCAATATTATGATAAGACTCCCATATACCCCATATTCTATCTACTTAAGGAGGACTATCTATAACCCTAATATACTCCCTATTTTTATAAAGTAGTTTCCATTCTCTTTTCCATTATCCCTAAATAACACCAATAATCTACTTAAGGGGGACTATAAGCCCCAGATCTTGTTTCTCCAACATTAGGATTCCCTAAACCTTCTACCGTAGGGCCATGTCCTTCATGGAGCTGGGCGGTCGAAGAAGCTCGGCGCTGGTAGCAAGATCGTGCTCAATGATGTCCTGCCAACATAAGGGGGGTGATTTGTTCTTCCTTTTTGGGGTGCCTATGATAAGGATTATAGCCTCTTATGAGGTTCCTTTTGAGGCTCCAAATTCTTGAGAAACTATATAAAGCCCAGTCCTATTCAGCCGAGAGTCACAAAGTAAGGAATATACTTTGAAGCATAAGAGGGGTACGATTTGAGGTCCCAGTAGCAAGGGGTATGATATTTTGGAGTCTATATTGGGGTCCCCTATTTTTGGAAACTACCATTTAGCGGCAGCTGCATACGGACTGCTCGTCGCCCTGAACCCGTGAAATTCCAAACCCCAACCCTACTTGAAGGTTCAGGGACTTAGTAAGCAGGTTATAACTAATGTTCAAAGTCCCCTAACGGGGGGCGGCCTGCTTATAAGCCCAATGCTAAACTAACTAAGTCACCTCAACCCTAAACCCCAAACCCTGAACTGTCCCAGCGGTTGAAACTGCTTGCCAGGCTCATCGTGTGGGCAAATGCCGACAGCCCCGAAGCCTGGCAGTAATCATCTGCTCCCAATGTCTAATATTATTACAAATAGTACTCATAGCAATGGGCTTAGGGTTTATTGCTAATAGTCATATTAGCACTAATAACAATAACAGTAATAATAAAACATACCAATGCTTAAAAACCGTAGTACTCGTAATAAGAGTTATCGTAATAAGTATAGTCATAGTAATAGTAATAGCAATCAAAAACTCCTAGAGCGGGGCTTGAACAGGCGAATGGAAAAGGCCATAGAAACCACCACATTGTTTTGGTTCTAGGGTTCAGGGCTGACAATAACCCCCGCCCCACCCCCCCCTAAGAATACACATTCCCTGCAAAATATAGTTGTACAAAATTCGAGCGGGGGGATGTTCATTCTTCGGGTGGATTATTAATAGGGAGCGGAATTCGTCAACAACAAAACTAAACCCTAAGCTCAAAAGTAATTCGAGCCAGGACTGCGGGCTTCAAACAGAACTACCCTCATGACCCTGGAATGTAGGGTATAGTGGAGTTATATAGGTCATAATGGGAAATAACATCCAAACTACTATAGTATATTAGGGCTATACAGGGCATGGTATACGGGTATAATATGGGGCTATATGGGGTAAGAATATTGTGGTTTTATAGGGATAATGGAAACGAAAACTGGAAGCTGATACTTAGGGTTTAGGGTTGAATGGATCCTCATCCTAGTTCCTGCATTATCCCAATAGTATAATACCTGTAGAGCACTGTGGTCTGCGTTTTATTTTTTCATTCCCTCCTTCCCTGCCGACTACAGGTAAGAGATTCAAGGCGACAAATGCCGGTGTTTGCGCGAAGGTGGGGCAAAAACCTCTCAAAAGCTTTGGCGTCCTAGGCTGCCTACTGCAAATGACTGGGTATTTACCTGAACCCAAGCTCGCAACATCTTCAAAGAAATCACGAGGGTGCCATCTTGAAAGCAGCCACATCCCAAACACCCAAAGCTAACAGTCGGCTTATCCCTCAACCCTAAACCTTAAGCCTAAATTATGGTTTAGGGACACTTTTCAAGCTTCACACATGCCTTCGAAGGCTCATCCGTTTCGATGTTTTTGATGCTCTCGCTCCAAAGTGTATCAAGGGCAGACATCTCCTGAAGCCGGAGGGTTTAGGGTTTAGGGATTTGGGGTTGAGGGTTTAGGGTATAGGGTTTAGGGTTCATGGGAGATGCGGGGAGAGATATTGCTGTTAGTAGTACTACTATTATTTACTCCTCTTAGCATTACGATTACTAGCTTGCCATATACTGGGCTCTCTGGGTCATATGGGGGTTTAGGGGTATAACAGGAGATTACTACCGGGGCTTAGCTAATCACAAGATCCTTTTGAGGTCTACTTGAGGTATCTATAGCATAAGTATGCAAGGAATCTTCTGGAGCCATGATACTGGTAATCTAGTTTTCTAGGCTTCTACATTCCTGTAATTCTGAAACCCCAAACCCTGAACCCTTATGAGCCTTTTCAAGGGCAGTCAGTCCTGAGTCACCCTAAGTCCTACTTACCTGAAGGGTCAGGGGGACTCAAGTAAACGCACTTACAACGCCTACATGTCATACAGTAACCCTAGCTATCACGGCTATTAACCACATACCAAGTCCTCCTGAGCCTCCAAGTAGATATCATACTGTTGATACTATAAATTCTGCATGACTCGAGTACACCATAGTACCATAATTCACGAAGTATAAGGTACCTAGAGTCATACAGGATTTTTAGTATCCACCGTACTTTAAACCGAACTGGGTTTGGGGTTTGACGTAAGGCAGTGGGAAGCCCCCAGAGAGCGCGGATTCCCTAAAAAGGACTCCTCCAAGGGCAGGTATATGTTGGATACGGCCGGGGTTTAGGGTTTGGGGAAGGGAAGATCTCTGTAGCAATTCCCATATGTGTGGTTGTCAAAGTTATGGTCCCTTTTTGGGTACCCTAGATATTAGGTGCAGTAGTATAATAGGAATCCAAAAGGGGACCATAAATTTGACAACCACCCATATAGTATTTTCCGTCCTTCTGCTCAATTCCTTCATTCCTTACTGACAAACAGTGAGCCAAGAGATCTGCCGATGGAGGTGGCAGACCCACGGAGCCCTCCCTTAACCAAGGAATATAGTCCCCCTTAAGTAGATCCAATATGGGGTTTAGGGGGATCTTATTACAATCTACCCAAAGCCATATTATTCTATCTACTTAAGGGGGTCTGTATACCCTAACTTTAGGTATGTAACCCTTTACGGAAACAGTTACATACCACCAAAGGTACTATAGAGTCATAGCTGCTGCCCTTAAGGACAGGAACTGCCAGGGGCAAGACCCAACCCTAGATCATACTAGAAATCCAAGTATGGTTCAGAAGACATATGACTAATATTCCGCAACTCTGGTATATCGGGCTCCCTGGGAGGTTGCAAGGATGTCACTGCCCTAAACGCTATATCCCTTAACCCTGTAGACCCTGTAGACCCTAAACCCTGAACCCCTAAACCCTAAATCCCTAAACCCTATAGACCCTAAACCCTGAACCCCTAAACCCTAAACCCTCTAGTCCCTAAACCCTAAACCCTCCTGGATCTGATCATCTGCGCCCCTGACTTGAGCCGCCCCAAGTCGGAGCAGCTCTTCGGAGATGACTTTGCGACTCACGTCCTTGCGCAGGCTGCTTGGAGGTCCATGGGTAACCATGACGTACTTCTCTTACTGGGGGACTAGGGGGTAGTAAGAGGTAAGGAATATCTATTAAAAAGGGGTTACTTAGGGATTGTGTTCCCTTGTTCCCTGCTAACAACCAGTAAGTTATGACTGTAGAGAACCCCCCCAGTTTGCATTACCTCGCAGAAGGTGCACCGTGAACACCTTGGTTCTGTGGGCCTGCTCAACGCCTCTCTGTCATGTCAGGGTCCACAACCTCATGCCGGCCCGAAGCACTTAAAATAAGGCCCAATATGCACCCCCCCAAGTACTGTATAGTCCCCCTTAGCTAGATTGAATATGGGGTATATGGGGATCTTTTTGTTATATACCCAAAACCATGTTCTATCTACCTAAGGGGACTATATATAATCATGAGCAATAGGATTACCATGAGAGCTATTAGTGTGAGGGGCTTGTACGCTGTCATGGGCCACGCCAACACACTGGTTTACGGCTCAGCTTGTGATGATTTGTGGCAGTAGACATCCTGACACTGCAGCCCGTTTGTCCAAGTAGGTGCTCACGCAAAATAGCACACCTCACTTGCTTAAGACAGATTATTTCAGAAACCCTACACCCCGAAATATCTCGAGCTGCGGGCATTTGTCGCTGCCGCCTCTTACTCGGGCGACGGTCGTCAAGAACTGTTGGGCTGGGAATTGAGAGAAATTAGCCTGGGAGAGGCAAAGGGAGAAGGAGAGGGAGCGGGAGGGAGCGGAGCGAGCGAAGAGAAAGAGCCTTTTCTTTTCAAGATCAGGGGCGTAGATGGGCGTGCTACACACGGGTATTGTAAATATGAAGCACAACATGCCTCAACCTGTGCATCATCTCGGCTTTCTGGATATGACTTGCTCGATGCGCATCTGGGAATAAGAATACGGGGCCTTCCCGTGGCATTGGACGCGACGGATTGAAAGCACGAAGACTTACTGGTGGTTGGTAGGGCATAGCGGAATACAATCCCTACATAAACCCTATATGGCATATTACCTTATTCCCTACTAATCCCCAGGAAGAAGATTCGAAACCTCCAAACGGCTCTTCCGGCCGTCCTCCATCCGTGACTCCAGGGACTTCAGCTCGTCCTCGGCTTCCTGGGGTTTGGGGCTTAGGGTTTGGGGTTTAGGGTTGTGGGTTTAGGGTGTGGGGTTTAGGGTTTGGGGTTTCGGGTCTGGGGTTTAGGGTTTGGGATTTAGGGGCCAGGGTACCCTGGATTTGGTCAGAGCCCACCCATGAGAGGTTCGTGTAGGATAACCCAGACCCTGATTAATCAACGCCCTCCTCTTAATAGGGATTGTAGTAGGGATCCTAATATTATCAGGCACTTGAAAGAGGGGGTTATTAATCATGGGTCTACATTACTACAAAACAATGCTGCAGATCTGTAGCTCCCTTAGAATAGAGACGTGCTCTGTTCGTTTGCCTCAGGAAGGAGCGCCTATCAAGCCACAAGGGTCCAGGTATAGGGTTTCGGGTTTAGGGTACTTCCTGGTGTAATGTCTACTCATGGGCTTCACGGCTCCCATAGAGGCCCCCGGTATATACCATATGAGCTACAGTCTAAACTCCCAGAACAGCGACATCATGAACAAACACGCACACGAAACAATGAGTCCCACAAGTGCATAAGGCCTTGCAAATGCATATTAGGATTGAAGGTACAGTGCGATCACGTGCAACTGTCCTCGGAGAACTGAGCAAGGGCGTGATCTGCAGCCTTGTCAATCACCTTTGTGCCACAAACGCTTTCACAGGCGCGCGCCAACAAGATTAAGCCACTCACTGCACTGGATTTTAACTTCCGGGATCTGAGTAGGGAATTAATAAGGGAATATCATCCCTAAATAGCCTCCCTGCAATTTATTCCGACATTCCCTACTAACCCTAAACCCTAAACCCTCAAACCTCTGTATAATATTCCCTTACTCCGTACTTACCCCAGTACTTGACGGTGTCCCTATATACTGTATTCCCCATATCCCTTACTCAGAGCCAGTAAGTTTAGGGCTTGGTCAGGATTTAGGTGAGTCAAGGCGTCAGCTCATCATGCAGGAATGGCACTCTAAAACTCTAACCCCCAATCCCTAAACCCTAAACCCTAATCCCTAAACTCTAGACCCTAGACCCTAAACCCCATCGCAATCCCTACACAATCCGCAACCATGATCCCTAAAGGCTATTCCCTCATTCCTGCCTTAGCCCCCCAAGAATATTGTAGGGTGTAGGGTTTAGGGGTTTAGGTGTTTAGGGTTAAGGGTGCAGGGTTTATCAACCACAAATGAGGCTCAATGTTAAAATTCGGGGTCGGATTTAACATACAAATACCATGACCATTCCTACTATGACCATTCTTGCCATTTTTACTCTCATGGTTTATTCGTACGAATATTACTGTTGTGATTACTTAGTATTGCTACTCTCATTACTATTATCATCATTCTTGTCATTATTACTACTATTCTCACTACACTTCGTACTCTAAAGAGTACTTATACTTATTGTTGCGCTTTCATATATTAGTTAGGTGGACCCCCCCCCCCCACCCTGTCATAGTCATATGACAGGCATATAAGAGGAACAGAATATGAACGCCATGATTTCTTTGGATGGGGGTCCTAAGCCCTGAACCCTAAACTGTTGCTATTCATATCCTATCTCAAGCTCTGCAAGGATTGGCCCTAAACCCTAAAGCCTCCTAATGGTAGGTTAGTTATCCTCAAGGGGGTGGTAACAAGAAACGTTTACAGTATAGTAACTCTTTGGCTCCAGTAACCGAAATGATGGGTCCTGGGTTCTATATACCCTGTGGTTACATAGCCCAGTATCCTATGACTTACGTCACTCGGAGCCCTAGGGCCAGGGCCCTAAGCCCTCTGAATTAAACCCTAAAGACTCCTACTTTCCCAAAATAAGAGGACCCCCATATAGATCCAAATATACTATAGTCCTTATTATAGGGATCCCCAGAAATGTACCCCTCGTTTTGGGAACTTCAGTATGCCTCAGTGTTAGGATTCCCTGGTTGCGGGTACTTAGGGCCGCGTAGGAGTTTTCAGTATCCACCCCAGTTCACGCGCTAGGCAATACTTCCATGTCAAAAGGCTTTGCCCAGAGGTGGTGGAAGTGGTGCAAGCGCTGCGGCAGCTTTGACCTAATGGCCGGTGCTAGAGACTGGGGATCGCCTTGCTGAGGATCCTATTGTAGGGGCCTCAATAACTATTAGAATAGCGCTTCGGAATGGTTCAGGATATATTGTACACGAACCATACGAAGATTACGTCAGGGACTACAACGCAATGAATTAGGAGATGGTCTAGGCTTCTGCATTACCAGTTGTGGCAGGTATGTGTGTCTAAGTCACTTTTCAGAACAGTATGCTCGTTCAGGGCACCCAAAGCATCACCAGCAAGCTTGAGAGGCTCCGTCTTCTGTCTGAAGTAGAGGGAGTATATAGGGATCTATGGGGAGTAAATATGCATATAATTGTTATATATATATATACGTATACGTATGGGTTTAATAGGGTTATATAGGTTTACGTAGGGCTATGTAGGGTTCTACAGGGGTATCTAAGGATTATCAGGGGCGTATATGAAAAGGACTCAGCAAAAGGAGCCCGAGGATGAAGGTTTCTCTACGAAGCTTCCCACTCCAATTGTCCGACGAAGATGTTTAGGGTTAAGGGTTATAAGGGTTTAGGGATTAGGGGTTTAGCTTTTTTGGGGTCTAGAAAAGCAGATCAGGGAGGAAGGCTAGAGGGTTAATGGGGTTTAGGGTTCATGTCAAGGCAAAGTACCCACACAGGGTCCAAATGTCCGGAAATGAGAAACTTGGGCTTAGGGCAATAGTACAGGGGTATGTATATGACTATGAGGTACATGGACCCTGAGCGGTATGGTCTTAGAGTTCTTCAAAAGGGCAGTACTAGATTTCACAGAGAGGATTAGGACTCTCATTTAGAAGAAGCCCGGAAAGAAGAAAAGCATTCCCCAGTCAGCCAGGCAGATGGCTGCATAGAGCAGAAACTTCCGTCGCCTTCAGGGTGTCATTCCCTAAGAGTCCAAGTACCTAATCATCATATACTTACCCAAATCCTGTACTATAATACCCTAAACCCTCAACCCTAAACCCAAGTACCTAATTATTGGGTATTTGGACCCTTTGGGATTCTTAACGTGATGCTGACTACAACTTAGGGCTCGGCCCTAGACCAAGAACCTAAGTACCTACTATTAGGGTTTAGGGTTTAGGGTTTGGGTCCATATATCCCAATTAAGGGTGCTAGGCGGGTCTTGGGTCCTGGATTGCTTTTGGATCTTCTGCTTCCCTCTTAACAAATTCCCTCCAAGATCACTTCGTCATCCACTTTGACCACTACAGTATGCTGTCGTCCCCTAAACCCTAAACCTTAAACCTTAATCTATAGTGGTACAGGCATCTGCAGGTGTTTGAGTATCCCTGCGGCATGCTGTTAAAACCGGACGACTGGCCTGAAATCATCGTTACCGGATTCCATAATTTGCGTCAGACCTCCCAACAGCATCTTCCCTGTCTCCTGACAGACTTTGAGGCCGTCATCCCCCATGTCCTCTGTAGCAACCGATACGCCACGGCATATCCACTTGACAATCTGGGTGTCGTCTGCTTTGAACCCTTCGGAGAGCGCTTGAACAATGGCCTTCTCATCCGTCTGCTTGCAGAGTTTGCTCAGTCCGCCTCTAAGCTCCCCTCCATCCAGCTCGCGGCACTTCTCCAACGTCGCCTTAGGGACTTTTAGAGGGTTTCAGGCCTTCTTTTCAGCGTGTTCAATGCTGGGTAGTCTTGTTTCAACTGCAGGAGCCTTGCAAAGGTACGATGTAAGTTCCGACTCGTCCTCTTCGCTCGTGTCCTCGTCCTCGTCCTCAGACTGGGAAGAAGCGACTGCTTGTCGAATGGCCTGGAGATTGCGGCGGCTCCGGGCAATCGCTTTGCGAAATTGCAAGGTCACAGATTCAGCAGCAAGTGAGGCGCTCAACGAACGGATTTCTGGCCGGGCGCAATCAGCCAGCTGGGCTCTGAGAAACCAGGCTGTCCATGCGAATGCGCCCAGAAGCTGGAAATACATGGATTGGGCAAAGCAACCTCCACTACATGAAGCTGAAAAGCAGCAGTGGGAAGCTCACATGATGGCGCCATGTGCATGAGATCATCACATGCCTAGAACTTCCGAGTACCCAACAATTTGGGTCTACCATAGGATCCCTCAAAGAGTCCTTTAGCCCCTCATAGAGTGTAGTGTGAAATTCTTGCTGCAAAGAAATTCTGGATGTTTTTTCCAACCTGTGGAGTTGTTTTTCAAGCCAGGTCACACAACGCTGTGGATGATTGGTGCAATGTGCTAAGCTAAGCTTTGTGCTTCGATTCACTGCTTCACAATGTGTCCAACTCAAATATGATGAACAGTACAGATAGCAATACAACTCTGTATTGCAACCACCGGACACTAGATTCTTCGTCTGCTTGTCCCTAAGTGAATGCAAACGCAGGCTTCTAGTGTTCTCACGCTGTCCGGCATTTTGCAGCGGATTCCAGCTGGACTTATAGCAGGCTTCTAACCGCCTTTTGTCCGGAGTTAGCTTTTGTTAAACAGTGGTTGACGAAAATTTCCAGACACCTGCTGAAAAAAACACAACCTAAGCACGTGGGACAAGGGTTTAAGCAGCCGGACAGGCCTGAGAGGCCGAAGTCATGCCCTGCCCCTGAGTACTTTCAGTCAACAGGCCTTGTAGAAAACTTACTACTGTTATTCTTACTGTTAGTACTATTATGAATATTATTAAGCTGTGTTGGGAGGTTGGCCACTGTCGGGGTGAGCTTTAGCATGTTTTTTCTCCTAACAGAAGGCAACGCAAGTTTAAAAACAAGTTTAGCTCTTTTGCCCTGCTGGACGGACTCCCTCAGCACACAAAAGGGGCTGAAGTGACCCTGAAGGTAATGTAAACCCATGCATCTGCAAGCAATACTGAAGCCCTGCCCTACTGCCACAGTTGTTGCTACTACAGTTGTAATTCCATCGTTGCAGCTAAGGCTGAACCACACGGCCCTGCAAAGCTCAAGCAAATCATGCAACAGCCTACACCTCCTTCCCGGTCTTCTTTGCAGCTGCTGGCTCCTCAACAGGCATGGACTCGGCCTGCAGTTGGACGACAAGTCCCAAGGCTGAGAAAACCAATTCGCGGCAACCTCAAAACAGCACATCCTGAGCCCATAGGAATTTACGGGGATTACAAAAAATCAGTGGGTCTTATTATGGGCTATGCAGGAAACATGTGGCTTTAAAGCTGCAAGGCTCTTATTGAGCCTTTGAAGCCCTGCATTCCGGCGTCTTAGACGAGGCGAGTTTCCAAATCTATGATGCGCAGCTGTGGGAATAACGGCCATGGACAAACCCTGAAGGTCCAAGGACCCAAATAATGGGGCTTCAGGGCCCTAGAACCCTTTTATTTGAGTCCTTGGACCCTTGGGGAAATACTCTTGTAAAGGCATGTAGAACCGTACTTCTGGCCCGGAAGCCCTGCATCCAAAGTGATGATGACTACCTCCTCGTCATCCTCCTGCAACATATGTTACTAAGTCACCTACCCCCATCCTAACTCACTAACACCCTGCGTCCTCACTACCCCGAAGAACAAGTCATGAAACATCATGGAACAACCCCAACCTCCTTCGCGGTCTTCTTTGCAGCTGCCGGCTCCTCAACAGGAACGGACACAGCCTACAGTTGAAATACAAACTGCCCAGCTAAAAAATACACTTGGGAGTTTCTCAAAAGAGTTGGCTCTCAATGACCTTATCCTATTAGGATGTACCGGGATTTGGAATCGGCTGGCGGAGTCGAACTAGAACTTGGGATTACAGAGGATCGAAGTCGTCCAGCACCTTATAGGCGGGCATCCTCGAGACTAATTCAGGTGTTATATAGGGATTATATAGGGGATATTGGGGTTATATTGGGGTAATGGAAAAGAAAATGGAAACTACAGGGATTATATAGGGGTTATTTTGGGGTTATATTGGGATGTACATAGCCTGAAAAAATGCAAAGCAGCTGCCAACCTTCGCGTCTGACGGTCTGCCGCTACATCCCCCTGGTAAACTTCCAACCGCGAATTCCGAGCACCTCAAAAGGGACCCATACACAAACCCAAAAAAGGGTCCGAAGTACCTTGATAAGGATTACTGACCCAAACTATCTTTTTAATTCCTAGTATAGACACCCTACTTTGTACCATATAGATACTTAGGATCCTTCGGGAAACGGCAAACCAACCACCATCCCGAAATCTGGGGAACCCATAATTTCGGAAATCTGTCCGCTACGCCCTAGACACTGAGACACCCCAAAAAACTCCAAGCACTGCCCCTGTCCCCAAAAACACCAACACCTATAGACCACTCAGCTGCACACCCTAAAGCCGCAAAACCATCTGCTCCCTGGCATAAGCCCTGGATACCTCACATGAATACCCTGAATATCGGAGTGCGTATACACGGGAGGGATACGTCGACCCCCCACACAACGGCCAAGTTTGGGGAGAAAAAACATCCTCCTGCCACAGACGTTGCTCCTGCAGCAGAATGTCCCATTGTTGCGAAGAGATTGAAACCCTATGCCATATGCCCTCAATGGCCCTCACTGCCCTGTACAAATCAAGCAAATCATGTAACAACCCTCGCCTCCTTCTTCTCGGTCTTCTTTGCGGTCTTCGTTGCAGTCTTCTTTGCAGACGCTGGCTCTTCAGCAGGGGCGGACTCTGCCTGCAGTTGAACAACAAGTTCCACTGCTGAAAAACGCAGTTGAGAGCTTCTCAAAAAAGAGGGCCCTTTCTTGACCCTCTAGGAATATCCGGGGATTTCAGGTATGGAGGAATCGTCTCAGAGATTATGCGGGTTTCGCAACATCTTAGCAAGTACGGTTGTGCATCATAATCTACGACACGCAAAAGCGAAAATAACAACTGCCTTCTCAAGACTAAGTTGCACACAGGCTAAATGCTGAGGAGTTCTCGTGTCTGCCCGTCTGCTCACATCCTCCTGATAAACTTGCAGCTCCTATTACTGAACACCTCAAACGTGATCCATGCAATTTCGGAAAGCTGTCTAGGAGCTGTACGCCCCAAACCCTGAACCCCCGGCAAAAACTTGTACATCTCTATCCCGTATACCACCAACTGCTCTGGACCACTAAACTGCAAACCCTAGAACCCTAAAACCTTCAGCTCCTTGACACAGGCAGTGGATACGTCACAAGAACACGCTACGGCAATACAGGATTGCGCATACATTGGACCGATGTGAAAACCAAACAAGAGCCTCTTTTTACAGCCATTGGGCCATTCGGCTAGGTCGGTTGGGAGTCTTATTCCCCCAGACGCGGTTCGCACTGGTTATCTCGCATGGAGTTTTCATGATGGGAAGGGACTTGCTGCCGAAGCCTCAAGCCCTGCATCCAAAGTGATGACTACCTCCTCCTCCCCTCCTATTTCTCCTCCTGCCACAGACGTTGCTCCTGCAGCAGAAGGTCCCATTGTTGCGAAGAGATTGAAACCCTATGCCATATGCCCTCAATGGCCCTCACTGCCCTGTACAAATCAAGCAAATCATGTAACAACCCTCACCTCCTTCTTCTCGGTCTTCTTTGCGGTCTTTGCAGTCGCTGGCTCTTCAGCAGGGGCGGACTCTGCCTGCAGTTGAACAACAAGTTCCACTGCCGAAAAACGCAGTTGACAGCTTCTCACAAAAGAGGTCCCTTTCTTGACCCTATAGGAATATCCGGGGATTTCAAGTAGATTGGAGCAATGGTCACAGAGATTATGTGGGTTTCGCAACATCTTAGCAAATTCAAAGCTGAAGCAAATCATGCAACAGCCCTCACCTCCTTCACGGCCTTCGTTGCGGTCTTCTTTGCGCTCTTCTTTGCAGTCGCCGGCTCTTCAACAGGGATGGACTCTGCCTGCAGTTGGATGACAAGTTCCAGTGCTAAAAACACAGTTGGGACAGTGAGGGCGTTTCCTACAAGCGGCCCCTTTCTTTACCCTATATACGGGGATTACAAACGGACTAGGGGAGTGCTATACGGAATCATTCATGCGATGTGAGAAACATCCAACTGGTCTGATCGTGCATCAAAACTCACGATGGGAGACAGGCGAAAAAAGTCACAAAAACTGCCTCCTCAACACTCGTTTGGACACAATATAGATGCTGGGGCAGCAATCTTTGCATCTGCCCGCATATCCTTACAAGCAACTTTCAGCCCAAATACTGAACCCCGCGAACGGGATCCATGCAAACCGTATGGCATCCATCCAGAAACTCTGGGGACCCATAGTTTGGGAAACCTGTCAGGCACTGCCCGAACCCCGTCACCCTAAACTCCCTTAACTAGGGTTTAGGGTTTAGGGTCCCTATACCACAAACCCAATTAGCCTTGCGACCCCAAAGTCCTAAAATAAGCCCTGCTGCCTATCCCCGCCCCCCCCAAAAAAAACTCTAAAGCGATGTTCTCTGGGTTGCTGTCATGGAACTTCAACTAAGTTACTCTAATAAGAAACTCTATTACTATACACCCATAGAGCTTGAACCCTACCATGAACCCAAAACTCTAAGGGATTTGGAACCCCAGTAGAAATTACAATTTCAGCTAAATATTAGGATTCTAGGTAACAGAAATTACGAATTATTTTCAGGAACCTTATAGAAAATGCCTATTTTATGGTAGCTCAAACTAAATTCCTTAACAGCAACCCAGTTCTTGGGACATTCCAGCGCCTCCGAAGCTTCGACCTCTGAGCCTGCATCTGCATCAGAATCAGATCGCCGCCTCTGTTAGCGCGGCTGCTTAAAATCACGTTTAGGGATTATGTGGGGAGTATGTAGCGATATAAGGTCCCTTTGAGGCATTATTTGGGGATTGTGCGGGCATTTTGAGGGGATATAAGGTCCCTTTTGAAAAAACAGATATAAGGTCCCTTGGGGGATTAACTGGGGATTATGTAGGGATATTAGGCCCCTTTTGGGGATAATGTCGGGATTATTCAAGGATATAAGGTCCTCTTTAGGGAT